ATTTAGTCATAGGTCATGATTTCCCTCCGACATTTGCACCGCTCCTTCGCACTGATCTGCAGCTACATTTCTGAACCACGAAGTGAGTTTTTGAGGTATTCTACCCTGGAACGTCTGGCCGTGGGTTTTCTTATCCACGGAACATACACTTTCTGTTCCTGCCATCAATGCGTTTTCTGTACTTCACAGCCGCCCCCGCCACTGCCAGATGGCCCTGTCTTCGACGGCCCATCGACCTACCCAGTTGTTGAGGCTCCGGCCTCCGCGGTGTCGGACTACGTGACACTGCTACAGAGTCGTGATTTGGGCATGGACAGACCCTTGGCTCCTGGCCAAGTGTCCACCGTTTTCGAAGCCGACTATATTCATGATTTAAGCACATCTTCTATCAGAGCGGACTGTGACGTAATCCATGACTAAATTTAGTTTCCTTCTGTTATGATGTTGTCTTTTTATTTTGATGTTTTATTATATTTGCCATTTTTCAGTTGCTATTCCCGGGTTACTGGGGTTTCTGCATGCATTCTCGTGTGTAATTCAATTTTTCAGATGGCCGCTGATTACGGAATGCCCAACGTTGCCTGCCTCACAGACTGGCGAAGGAGGTGTGAGGATGAGGCCTTTGAAATGGTTAATCGTCTCAAGACGGCTCAGGTAGTTCTCTTCTGGAGTTATAGTATACTGATCAGGCTGTCTTCCTTTCCCATTTTGCACTGTGCAGAAATAATATTAGGTTAATTCAGTAAATTTGAGCGAATTTTGGTCACTTGAAGCACCTCCCCTACAGTCGTCAGTTTTGCACGCGCACATGCAACCTTTCCTCTTTCCCATTTTAGGGCCGTGCTATTATTGAGGAGTCCAAATCTGTTCTTGTTGCAAAACTCACCTCTATTCTCACTCTCCTGACGGTAAATTTCAATTTAGGCTGACAGGACCCGCTAATATGGCCTTTTTTAGCATTTGCAAGACGACAAGATGACTAACGACAAGCTCAGTTGTATTGAAGAGGTTTTCGCCGATATTCGACAAAGGCTGCACCCGAACAATCTAAAGTAAGGTGATTCGCCCGTTGAATTTGTGTGTTTTCCTGCGTTAGATGCTTTGAGCAGAGTGTGGAGCAACTGATTTCGCACATCGTGCTCAATCTTTCTCCGAGTATTCTGGCCGTGCAGCCGACAGCTACAAGCGGCCAAAACAATTATTCCAGACATCCAAATTCGTGAATGTCCCGTGTCCGCAGATTTCTCCCGCTCAAGATCTCCACATTTCTGGTTTTCTGTGTACACTGTAGTTATTTTTTCGCTTTTATTTGGGCTCCTTCTCAAGGTGAATATCTGTTTGCGTACTCATTTCTGAGGTGACTTCGACTCTGCTGTGGGCTCACCGGTCCCGACGGCGAACTCGACACCTGCCTTTTGAACATGCATTTATACTGTACACACATCTCGTTCTTAGGGCCAAATATATATACCTCAGGATGTGCGATTTATGCTTAATTGTGCTATTGGTGACCCTTGCCAAACCTGTTTAGCCATACCGAAGCGTTCATTTAATTAAAAATCGAGACCTAATGTCCTCGCGAATCGTCTTCCGTCCAATCACAGAACACAGCGAGGAAATCAAATCAATTTAAAGTGTCGTAGGTGACGTAAACCATGATTTCGCATCAGACTAGGAGATTTTTGCCCGTGTCACCATCGCGAAACTCTTGATTCTGGGCCGAATCCACGACTTAAGTCATTAACTCGTCTGTTGTTGTTGTTCCCCTAGCGCCGGTCTTGTTTCATTTTTCTGAGCGTTGTTTTCTGTGGTCCCCCATTTACCGTACCAGTCCGAGCCCGGCTACTGCTGAACATTCTGGATCCCTTGTCCTTGTTATATTTCGTCGTCTTTCCAATAGTTTGCGATCTTATATGAAATGGATACTGCACAGCGCCGGGAATCGCATTTTCTGCATTTTAACTAACGCTGACCTGCTGTTTCAGGTCCTTGTTAGCTAACTTATTTCGCCTACCTTGAAGTCGTAGTGTGAGTACTTTCACATCCCGCTAGTCACACCAAACACATGAATACTAAACTTCAATGATTTGCTGCTTGCGTAAACTAACTTTGCATAATCTAAACACGATTTCGCCTCCTACAATGAGACTAATCTTAGGTATACAGTGTCCAAATGCTTTGCCTTCTATGAAAATGCAGCAACTTGCACTGCTATGCGTTGCACATTCAACGCGTTTCAACGACCTGACGAAAACTACACAGAGATGTAACTTGGCTGTTGGCCAAACCGCGAGCTACCAACTCATTTGCGGCGACGATCTTCAAGCTTAACTATGTAGTGAGCAGACTTCGGAGTCTGATGAAAAAGCAGTTACATACCATGCAACATTACCACTTTCGGGTATCGTTTCATCCATCTGGCAAATCAGTTACCTTTACTATATCACACGCCCTGACGGCATTACGACATGTCGAATGTTCACTCCAATCCAGTAAGGCTTTGGCCACTGTCCTTCAGTCCTAAAACCGCAGGCTCGTACTTGTATGGCATGGAGAAGTCCACCTTCGAATAAAGAAAGCACAGGAAACCATCCCTTCTGGAAGCTGAACCACGTAACCACTCAGCCACGGCTTAACTGGTTGTTATGGGCTGAATGACACCTGTCCGCATGCTCGGATTGGACTTCCCTAAAAGTTCGTGATGGCGATACGACCAATTCCTTTTCCAAAATGAACATCCTTTGCTGAGAGTAAAGGAGCTAATGCCGGACGCAATATGGGGTGGAGAAATTCTTTTGCTTCTATGAGAGCACTCTAATATAACATGACACAAGGCGGCCTGTTTGGTATGATTAGAGAAAGTAGGAATTCATCCTTTCTTTCGGCGGTAGGAGCAATAGAAGACGTTAATTTCGAAAATGGCCTATTCGAATCTTATGTGGTTGCTGGCGCAAATTAACATCAAAAAAAGTCAAACATACTACTACTTGGGTGCGTAATGTGTTTGCCAGGGCTTACCGGCCGTTTAACAACGTTCTCGACTCATGCCGACAATCCGCTGCCGGATGTCCTACCCATTTACGCCCGGAATAGTATATTGTGCGAACGTCCACATATGTGTGTTTACTTTGCCAAATCCTTCATTCAGCCATTTCCAGGTCTTCAATTTAAAGTGACAATCGAACGACTGTGGTCCAAATAACCACAAAGAAGCCGGTGCGTCCAATTGTTCAGATCCTACAGCACGCCGATCATACAGTATATTGGACCGTGTGCGCGTCGACATGTGCTGTGTTCACAGTCAATGTTCACGTAATCGTAGGCCAGTAGTCCAGCGTCGCTGGAATTTTTGCTGAAGTCGGTAATTTTGCCTATCAGGGTTAGGAATGTCCCCTACTGATATTGCTCTCTCATAACAATTGTGTGGTCCTTCAGAGACCAATCGGCGGTGTGCAAGAAGTCTGGTCTCTTGAAGGATTTCTATGCACCTATACGACCGACCCTGGAAACGAGTCGAAACCAAACTACAGACCAATGTGCGTCTGATTCTGTCAGCTGAGTTTCAGTTCCAATGTATGGGAGCAATCGGACAGGACTAACAATATCCCGTCAACAGACGGTCCGCAGATATTGGCAGCACGCGACCTGATCAACGAAGGCCACGAAGCCCGGCCATCTGCTGGGGATATGAATACCCTCTGAGCGGGACTTTGGATTTCCTCTACGACACTAGCAATAAAGTAATCGGGCTAACCCTAATGTAAACACCGGTGGGGTGTTGCTACTTCGCGATGTGCAAACTCGTGAAATGTTAAGCGGAATTCTGAAATGCGTTTTCGACACGAAAAATTAATTCAGTTGGGTTGTATTATTAATTACCGTGCAGTATAATCCCAAGATATTGTAGTAACTCCGTGATGCTGGTTTGCAGACGAACTTCTTTCCGGCCGCCTGCAAAAACGCCCTGTTAAAAGTGACTACTTAAGTAGAATGAATTTTTCTATTTGATTTTCGATGCGCTCATAAATTCAAATATATTTCGTTGAAAACGTGCACAAAATATTCGTTCTTCTACTCATTTGGGAGAAAATTACGTTTTTAAACTTTATACTTGAAGAAAGGGTACACATCGGTCTTTAAGAAGTTGCTAATTATGAGATTTTTAAGACTGCGAGATTCCAGTTCATAGAACGTCGTCTCTACACTCACTAATGTTGCTTGTGAAGTTTACAATATAGCTCAAATCCACTGCCAAATTGTATGAGCCCCATATGGTCTCCTCTTTATAGCATAAAGAAAAGCATGGTTTTCCGTACACGGAAAATATACAGCCTGCAGTTTTGAGACCCTGAATGGAAGTGTAGCAGCAGGTCGGGTTCAAAATTATTCGGGAGTTGGAAAAGATTTTTTAAAACTGACTTATATCCATCTTTCAAGTAAAACATTTAAAGAATACGTAAATTTCTTCTAAATGAATAAAAGAACGAATATTTTTGTGCATGTTTTCAATGAAATCTATTTGAATTTGTAAGGGCATCGAAAATCAGTGAGAAAAATTCATGCCACCTAAGCAGTCATTTTTACAGGGTGTTTTTGCAGGCGGCCGGAAAGAAGTTCGCCCAGAAGCCAACTAAGGTAACTAAAATATCTTGAGATTATGTTGCATAATAATTAGTATTACAACCCTACTTAAGTAATATTTTCGAGTCGAAAGCGCATTTCAGAACCTCGATCAAGAATTCATGAGTTGACGCATCTGCAGGTAGCTCGGAAAGGTGCGCTTATAAACCGCGGCCCAGATGTCACCGTGAGCACCCCGCATCCCAGCGGAAGAGTCCTGCCTAGTTATAGACATAGTGTTATAAAAAGGTGGGTTTTAATCTAACCGGCGTGAGATACGACTGACCACCCAGTTTTTGTGGATATAGGTAAACCAATATAGCATGGCAAAAAAAGAGAAATTTTTATCATACAGAAATTGTCTAGCAAGTAAGAAGTCATCACCACGCACTGAAATCTGACAAGGTGGAACGCAAAACAAGCTTCCGCTTCTTTTTCAGTTGTTCCATCTGTGTAAAGGAAGCCTCGATAGAAGCTGGTGCTGTCCGCGTTTTGGCCTCACTTGGCCGATCCAGTTCCTCAGTCTGCGATATATCAATGAATTTTCCAACGCCTTGTCGTTGGGTCACAGCAGCCCCTGCAAAAGAAGCAAGAAAAGACGTAGGTGGGAACTTAAAATAAAATAATGAGACTAATCGCTGGGCGAGTTTCCCAAAGTCTTTCGTGGAGCTGCGTTTCGATCGCGTCCTGCAGTCACTGGATACGTCAAGTTGTACATTAAGCGGGAGCTGCTTAATGATGAGATCAACAAAGCAACGGTCAAACACGTCTCGGCGCGTTCGATAAAGTCAAGATACTGTTAATATATGGCTGTGCTAGCCTTACTTTTGTGCCAAAACCACATTGCTGGATTTGTAGTGTCGAATTTCAATTCCAGCGACCTTGATCATGTAAGTTTGTAGGTTTCCGTCGACATCCACGCTAGTTTCTTAACCAACGACTCAGTTAGTCACTAATGCAATAGGGTCTTTTTCTTAGCCAATCTTACCAACTGCAAATAAGTTATAGAGGTAACGAGGAGCATATAAAGCACACCAGTTGTGCACTCTGCAAACGAAGCGCAGTTTTGCACGCAGCAGAAAATTCGTGGATGTCCAGCCGATGCTACAACCTGCCAGATCACTGCCATTCAAGAGGGTTAAGAGTGAGTGAGCTGGCAGCAAAAAGGTTTCTACTAGATCACGGATGCCGCTTCTAACTTGTCATTTCTGCTATATAAACAAAATTTATAGTTTAATAACCAAGCTTTACAGTGGAAGGTACAAATTCCTAGTGATCACTGGCCAGGTCTGCATTCGTTGACGCCTCGTTAGAGACGAAGATCAATCGTCCGTTATCCCGGTCTGATAGAGAAATTGTCAGTTTTTTTTAACAGTATGCAGTCATACTGTCGGTTATTGGTCAAGAATTGGATACCCGAGACTTTCCATTTGACAGCAATGCCTTTCGAGTTTAACAGGTCCCATGAGCTTCTTAAACTGCCTGAGCATGTAATATTGTACACTGAGGGCTGAAAAGGTTCAGTCTTACATGCGCAATAAACTCAAAAAGGAGTTTCAGAGGCAAATGAATTTAAAGGAAAGCCGGAATGCATGGATTCTTTCCGGTCACGATTAAGTTTCTGAAAAGCCACCAACTGAAGTTAAAACGGGACCTACCGCTAAGTCCACGCTTTTTAGCTCGTTTGGTAGCTTCCATTGCCTCCTCTTCCCGACGGTTGCCGGGTTTGGGCATCTCCTGAGTTTTCTGGGCGGTTGCCTCCCTCTCTTTGGCTTCCTTTCGCTCCTTCGCTAACATCTCATCCACATCCTTGAAGGGATTCACGAACACCTGACAGGCCAAAATTTTAATCTCCTCCTAAATAGAAAATGACTGATTCTACCAAATAGTAGAAAATGTCAACCAAGGCAAAAGTTATCATCGTGATTGCTGGTTGTCAGCTACATTGACAGTGATGTCACGATCAACTATCAGAAAAGAGGTTGACGTTTGGTAGCTAACAAAGAGGAGTAAAGCAGGCGAGGAGAAACCGGCACTAACTTTGAGATGTGCCGAATCGCAAAGGACCCCAGGACAGCGGTAAGAAAATGAAGAAAACTTCACGAAGGCCTTTAACTCCCTTTTTTAACAACTTCCTCTGCAAGTTATAAGTGCGATCTTAAATGTTGTCCGATCCAGACGGCTCGAAGTGTGTGGCTCACTCCCGGACTCCTACAATCTGACAGGTATGGATGAGATCACTGCACCTTCACGTGTACCTTGTAGGATGACAGTTAATTTAGACCATTCGGGATTAGAGTGAAAACACACCATGATTTTCGTAACTCTGCTTGTACTTATTGGGGCAGATAGTAGTCTTTAGTGAGTCACTGAAGTTGGGCCGGTACAACGCACTCAAAGTGAGACTGAGCGAGCTCTCCGCAGATCTTCTGGAAAAACCTCCAATCATTTTGTATAAATGCCCTTGTGAGGACCAAAAGATCCCGCGAGACAACAACGAAGGCGAAACTCTGACTGCTAAAGAGACGGTGTTCAGTTCGTTCATATTTATGCAGAAATTGGTGGTGGACTCATCCATAAGATGGTCGTTCTTTAACCTTATAAATCGAAATAGGACAAAGTGAATTGAGCTCATTTAACACATTTTGGCAAGACAAATTTCCTTAGAGCTGGGGAAAATCAGAACACGAATATCTCCAGTTCTGTCGCACAAGTATTTTGATATATTTCATCTGGACTTTAATAGGTAGTTCGTTGGATTGAGGTCTATTTGAGAGAAACGTCCTAGGATACAGATTAATAAAAAGGGAGCGGCAACAAAATATAATACTGGCGTGGTTAATATCTTAAAGAAGCCTGTGGGAAAATATAGTGACCCGCAAGTCTACACGGAAAAGTGGAAGACCACGCTCCATGTTACCAGGCGTGGTAAAATGCCATAAAGACAGAAGCAGCTGTTTTCGATGCCACCCGAATGACTGCTGACAACGCAAAGACAGGCCGCAAGACGCAAATGCAACGGATCGGTGACGAAAGCACCGAACCCTCACTACTGTGTCTACAATGTCGGCTTACGTTTCAAGCACGGGCAGGCTTTGTTAGGCATCTCAGACGAAGTGTAATAATAATGTGACCAACCTGACTCTCACATAACTTCACACTGCCATCACTACCGGCACTAACATCGCCAGAGAGAACACTCCTACCATCTTGTAAAACATCGTCATTGTCCGTACCACAGGTAATATGGACTGAATTCTAACCTGTCCACACTACCACCTCACTTTCTTATCACACACCAGCCTGATAGGTCACTTTAAAATCCATCGTGGTGAGACCGGCGAGCCAGAGCCTTGGGTCCGAAAATAACCCGTCGCACACGTCTCGCCTCCCCATAGTGTCCTAGGACATTCAGACACAGCATGTGTCTTTTAGAAAATACGCACATACGCGACAACGCGGACCTTCACAACCCCCGCAACGTCACGCGGCCAGCCTGTGACCTAAACCCAGGCCCCTTCTACAATCAGAGCTAAGTACCTCACCATGATCAGCATCACCGCCACCATAACAAACTTGGTAGTCAGAGTTCCGTCTTGTCCTTACAGCGACACCGCACTTGGATCGCCCACTTGAAAATCCATCGCACTTTGACTGCCGGACCAGTATCAGGACACCAATATACGCCCATCACACAGGCCTTGCCGCTCCATACTGTCTCAGCATATGTGACCATCGCATGAGCCTATTTGGCCACATGCGTCTCCATGAAATTCTTAAGAAAAACAGCAGCCCAGACCTCATCGTCATGCCTTTTTCCACCTGTACATACATCCCTAGACTACGCAGTAACCTATGCAACCACACGTTCACACATGCTACACCCCTGTAACACCATGCCCCTGTCGTTCAATAATAATGCTATCCGCGTTGACGTGGTCGATAGGGTGGGCGAGTCGTTGCACATCAGAATATGCAGACCTCACGTAAAATGGAACCACGTCTCTCGGTGCAGCCTGGTGCCTGAAGCAGGGACCAGGTCTTGTGTGGCACACGTAGACGGGCCGTTTGGTTGTCAGCCACTACGTCCAATTCGCCACTACTTGGCTGACAGGCTCGGACACTTGGCGGATGTGTGGCAGAAGGAAGAGATAGAAAGCGGTCGGCATTTGGGAATCCATCCAGACGGCATATTATGAATTCATCACCACGCCAATCTATAGCGACACCCTTAGGAGACGCGGCTCGGAAGACTGCAACCAACAGGATAATTCGTTGCTCATGGTAAACATTCTGCAATGAGTGGAGGACTGAGAGACAGTCTATGATTACTCGTTTTCCATACGGCCCTTTGACGCTTTCACGTATGTGGGGTTCGGGCCACTCTTACAGTAGACTGGTGCATGTAGTATGAACCAGCTGGTGTGTGGCACGGGCAGACAGGCTGCTTGGCTTCGTCGGCCACCGCGTTTGCATCCACCTCCAGTCGTCTTGGCACTATCTCGCTACCAAAGCAAGGCGGTTTGAGGGAGGAGAGAGTGCGATAAATGGTGTGCAAGTCTGCCCCACTATAAAGCCATCACCGGTGCGGTGCCCGCTGCTGCAGGCGGTGGTCATCGCTTACGATGCCCAAACTGTTACGTGTTGCAAAGAGAGATCCCAACAAAATGGATATTCAGCTGGCTGTGGTTCGGGTAGTCAGGCACTTAAGTTTCGGGACGCAGTAGGATTCTCCAAGCATCACCGAGGGCTGTAGGTTTCACAGACTTCGCTGCAGGTTTTTTCAGTCCATAACATACCGCGCTGTGCCGACAAAGCGTGCCAATTATTTGCGCCCCTTTGGTACTCGGTCAGCATTCGAATAGCGTGCAAAGTACAGTTCAGTCCATTACGTCCGGTCAATACCTGGATACTCCAAAAGGCTGAAAACTTCGAGCTATGCCAAGCCTGAAATCAGATGCCAACAACAATCAGACAGTCGATACTGCTTCATCGGCATCGGGTTAAGGAAACCTGCGGATTAGTTGACCTAACTAGTATCGTCCTTATTCATACATTCAATACAGATACTAGTTGCTGAGCAGAAGTGACCGTATGGTGGAACTGCGAGAAATACGGTTCACTGATGGGTCTAGGCACCTCCGTTTGATTTCTGTTATAGCAACTCTCCCGTCTGTCAAGAAGGCGATGGTAGGAAAATAAAAAGAAAAGCACATGTAACGAACCAGCGGCCGGTCGTCCTTGTCAGTCTCCACAAATTCTACTTTGTCCAGAGTGTCCAGACCACCAACAACCCTAAGTGATTCAAATGTGGTCGGAAAAGGACTTACTTTCCGAAAACCGCATGTTTCTTGTTCAGCTGATTGCATGGCCTAAAGGTAATGAAACTGTGTACCAATAGGACAACTTATATGGACTTACAATTGAGACTTGTTGGAGTTGGGCCCCGAGTTGGCCATGGAGAGAACGCCGCGAGAGTCATGCTTTAACTGCGGTTGAAACTCGTCGACAAAAGCGCCACCCCAACAGGAATCGCCGCCTAGGCCAGTTCCGGTCGGATCACCGCTCTGTATCTAAGAGCACGGAGAGGGAGCGGACTAGTTATGTAGCTCATATTCTACCTACAATAAAGTGTCGGATCACACGATGGAAAATGCAGTCCACGTAATAGCCGGATTCACAGAGGCGAATAAAATTTTCACAAGTTTTGGGCGTCAAATCGCAATGCAACTTGAGGTTAAGGTTGCCGTGAGTGGTCACAAGGCGTGCATAGCCCTTGGACTTCACATAGCGATAGCGCACCACATCGTCCTCAAGAACAGCTGGACTGGGTTAGGAGGGGAAAAGGATGACGAAGTTACCCGGTTCCAAGAGGACGTTGGGTTCCATGACGGTCGATGTGAGTGAGGCTGCAGCCTTGCCGGTTGAATAATGTGCAGTGTTGAATGCGTCGCGGGTCTTCGCATTCGGGTCCAGTTTCGGTTTATTGGAGTACATGTAGTCGGGAATCTCGAGCTTAGTCTTCGCGAGTTCAGCCAGGGTTTCTTTCGTCTCCTGATTGACAGACCGAATGATTGTCGTGTTGGTATCAGCTGGTAAAAAGCAGAAAAGATTAAAGAGACAGAAAGAGGACACCTTTCTCCAGCATTTCGTTTCGAACATGGTAGAACGCCGATATATTGAATTTCTCCAGTTGAGCTGGATCTTGAATGGTGATTATGTCCTCTTTGGTGAAGGGCTCCGAAGTCAGCAGGTCCAAGTAGTTATTGGCTTTTATGTTAAGACGCTCCACAGCCTAGGAAGGGAGTCATAGGGATAAGGCTACTTACTTCGTAAGAATAAACATTGCCAGTTGTCCTGACAGCAACAATGTGTGTGTTCTGATTAAAGACTTTGAAAGTCACAGGGCAGTGGAATTTCCCATCAGCGTTCTTTGCGAAGTTCAACTTTATGAGTTCTCCAGCTTTCATTTTCTAGTGGTCAGGGAGGAGTGAATAAAGCACCGTTAAAAGAGACACCAACCTTTCCTGTAACTGGATTCAGGCCAAACCTTTTGATAAAAGGAAGAATGTTTCTGAAAAAAGGGGTTTAAAAATACGGAAACTAGCTGACTCTAGGTCGAAGACGATTCCCTCCTTGGTGCAATAAGGCGTCTTGAAAGGCTGAAACGACACACTATGTAGAGAAATAAAGGACCAAATGGCATATATTACCTGCAGCAGTTGAAGGGCAGACGACGAAAACGCATCTGGCCTCCAGCTGCGGCCCGTTTGCCGCCGTACAGTGTGCTCCATTCCGTGTTGGTTATCCAACTAAAGAATGACAAAATCACTGAGTGACTCTGGTAATGAGCGCAAGTCAAAATACTGATTTTAAGGACAAAGTCGATCAGAAGTAACCAGAAGAACAGAACCTTTTTGAAAAGCCTTCGCGGAACCAACGGTAATGGCCAATTTCCTTTCACAGGCTCCTGTTATCTAACTGTCCTTCCAATAATGTTGGTTTCAGTCATAAATGGAACAACCCCCAACACAGCTTTGAGACCTAGGTGCCGCAGATTCTGGTTATAATCCTCACCGCTTCAGCTAGCGGAAGTCATATTAACTAAGGGGGCTGTCATACAGAACTCGCGGTAGCTTAATCAAGTAATGTAAATATAAAGTGCCTGTGCGACAGGAAATGGCAACAGTGCTAAGATCGGGACTACAGACCTTATGGTATGAATCCTAAATCTTAATAAGAACAGAGTAAACGTCGCACTGGGGAGAGATGTAAGCTTCAGAATAACTAGCTTCTTTCGCCGCATAGGCTAGTTGGATTGCATTGAGGTGTTGGTAGGTGCTTGGCATATCCGGGTACACTCGGCTAGATACTAGTAGTTGGAGACTAGCGCCAAATAAGTGAAACCCAAATTAATCAGACAGATGGCGTGTTATAAAGGATATAACTACATTTGATATGCATGGAGGCAGACACTCAAAATCCAAGCCCAAGTTTGCGCGAAGAGTAAACACAGTTTTTAATCACCAGGAAGAGAAGCTTACTTTTCAAAACTTCTGGTGGCGCAGGGTCATGTCAAAAACAACAATGAAAGAAAAGGAGCCTACCTTATTAAATCAGATGACTGCGCACAGAAAGCCCGCTATCACCTAGGTTTATTAGTGTTCAATGGCGACACCCAAGATTCCATTCCAAGACTCCGAATAATACGATTGCTTTTATCCGTAATCCGTCGGGTTAAAGCAAATTTCAGTACCATACGGAGAAGGACATAGACTAGTTCAAGAGCTTTGCCGTACAGCACAGACCATTAGAATTCGCCAAAGGTGAACGTCGAGACAAGCGCATCATCTTTTGGAAAGATGGAAAGTCACTTCCAAACCAACTTTAAGCACACCTCGGGAACGACATGCAGCATATTTTCGAAGGAGCTCGTTTTCATTTGACTCCCTAGTCGTAGTTAATACCCGTAACATACGGGTCAAATTCTATTATAAGCCCAAGGCGTAGCGATGACGTGGGCGAAACCGCCTGTGACTGCACCAAAGAAGCAAATGTGATAGTAGAGAGACTCTCGCCGATCAGTTCACGGATTTCACTCGTCCTGTTGTGCCTTAGGGCTCTCTCGAGCCCAACCGGCAGCCGAACAGCGGCGCGTAATATAGGCAGAATAACACAATCGACAACGACAAGGCAAACTGGAACGGTCATTTCTGGCTTATTAGCTGTCGTCAGTCAGTTATACCCAACTCCGAAGTGTAGAACACCTGAAGCTCGGTCCCGCGACCTGCTAGTTAGAAATCCGACGCCTCTAATCATTAAGCCACGGGCTCGTCACGTCGGCTGTGATCGGAGAGATACAACGGTAGAGGGGCGCTCACCGATCGTGGTATTGTAGTGTATACCACAAATTGTATCAAAGGTGAAATGCCGACATTGTATTCGGAATCGTATCCTAAACCAAGGACAGGGCTGAATCTCATAGCCGTTTGAGTGACATTATCACGAAGCGCGAACAGCCCATGAGACGGCATCAAATGCAGCAACGACAGTCAAGAGGAAACGCTACTTAACACAATCACAAGAAGAAACGGATGAATAAAGAGTTTGCTGGGATCATCTCGATATGAACGTGAGACACGCTCGTATGTTCGAATGACAATCTCCTGGAAGCATTCGATAGGCAGTGTTTCCCCTTCCGTCGTCTGAATCTATCCATTTAATAGGGCAATCAATAAATGACTGTAGTTTTCTTTGGAACATGACTGACCTACTGGCCCTTTTTATGGCACAAATATCCGTCGCCAGGACAGCCCAAAAGGAGAGCAGCGTCTACTTATATGGCTTTGTGATAAATGTAGGATTCAGAGGGACCTCTGCTGCTGCCTACGACCTCGTGTGTGCTGCTCTTGAGAATACGTCCTGAGTAATGAGTTAGTTTACGCGTAGACGCCTAGGACGCGGTTGTCCTTCGTGTCAGTGTAGTGAAGCGGTCGAGCACTACCAAAACGGAACTAGTAGTAATAACAACTGCCAAACAGTTAAGAGCGTCGACACTAACAGGGCCGGTATGTATGACGTCCGAATTTCTTTTAAAATAGCCCTCAGTTCACAGCCAAGCAACACTGGTTTTTAGTTTGGGCAGTACGACAAGAACGTGCGTAGACTTAGTGCACCCTGATAAACGCGTACCGTGAGCCAGTGTGATTTCTAATCTGATCCAGCGCATCTGCAGCGCAACCTGTTATTGGGTTAAGAGGTGTCTGACCAATGTTTTCTGAGGACCGTACGAATGTGACATTCCGTACTCACAGCGAAAACACCATGAGGAAGACTGAGATAATCCAGAAAAGATGAAGATGGTTTGGGCATGATAACCGAAGTTCTGTATACAACCTCACGTTTGCCGTTCTCGATCTGGTGCCTACGCATACCTGAAAACAGCGATGTAGTCAAATAAAAATCTAGCTTGACATAGTCCGTCAAGACATGGAGGCGGTTCCTTAAGCTTTGGCATTGGGTCTCCATGTCCGGATAAAAGGGCGTGTCGGGTTGCAGCAGTCGCGCCGGATAGATCAACGACCACAGTCGAACCTACTACAAGCATCTACGCAGCATCTCGAAACGTGGGAGGGAGCAATTCTCAAAAACCAGACAACACATAACAAACAGAATCGTTCAAAATGTAAATAATAAAGTGGCCAGGGGACGATACATAAATTCTTAATCCATGGAATAAAATAGAAAAGCAGCCGAACGGTAAACTTAGTGAACACGAGAGAAAAAGGCTGATCTCGATGTCGGCCCACGTAGACGGCAAAGATCAGCCATATGGATCCGACACATCTTGTAATATAAGTGTGGGTTTTGCAAATTTTTCCTCAATAAATACGTTGGAAAAAAACTTAATTTGAAGCGAAGCGTTAACTAGTCATACTAAACCATAGGCTATTAGACAGTGACCAGTGAAGAAAAGACGGATAGTTGCTAAAGCGAAAGTATGGGGAAGATAAAAAGAAAACGAAAAGATGAATATCGCTCACTCAAACACAGTCCCGTCTACTTGAACAGATGTAGGGTCGTTTTCGTTAAAGGAGAAGACAGATGGTCGTTTAACTGGTGATTGTTCATCTTTTGCGTAGGTAATGTGCACTCTAACGTTCTTATCCGGGAGTAATAAGATTCAATATCCGGCAATATAGAAACCATGAAGCTGGTTATGCTGATAAACATTACCGACAGAAACAAGGGAGACTTAAGTGGCCACTTCTGACTAATTAATCGTCGTCAGCCAGCAATACCGGAGATGTGGAAAACCTGGGGCTCGGCGAGCCGTCTTCTACTATTGTATATTCTCAATTGCAATAGGCAGGACAATGACCCCTTAGTTCAGTAGTTAAGGGCGTTAGACCTCTAGCCAACAGGTCGTGAAATCGAGCCTCAGGCGTTAAACACTTTGCGGTTCGGCACGACGGGCTGACGACGGCTAATGAGCCAGAAATTACCATTCAGGTCTTCCTTGTCTTTGTTGGTATTATTCTGCCTAAATTGTGCGTCGCTGTGTGGCTGCTTGGTGGGCTAGAGAGGGAGAGAGAGCACCGAGGCACAACAGAACGAATGAGTTCCGTAAAACAATCGGTGGGCCACTGTCCTACTGTTTGTTATGCTGATATAAAAAATAGTGGCAAACATAACGGAACACAACCCCGATTGTTTCTTAACTTAACGACCAGGTCAACGAATTGAAGAATAGCGGCCAAATACTGGAAGGCATTAAAGGCAAACCGGACTGTGCAGACAGCATTAAAAACTGCGTCTGATATTAATTAGTAACTTAGGCGATTGATAGGTCGTGTTTTTCCAAAGGGTGGGATAATAAAAAGACAGTATTGGGAATAAAAGAAAGATCACAATCAATTCGAGTGCGAAACGCGTACAGTTTGTCCTGTTGATGTTGCTTCTTGCCCATTTTGTAGGATGTAAATCAAAAGGCGCGGCTTAATTCTAGCTAATTTAAAGTAGCCCTGCTGGACATAGGTCTATAAGCGCATTCGTGCACAATAGTACGTGGTTTCTTCGTCTCGAATCCAAGCGGCAGAAAAGGCACTGCATCTTTGCCCGTCAAAGATTTTTACATTCGACCATTAATCATTACTCTCTGCGTCTGTGACCGCCCCACAATCATAACATGCTACGTCATCAACCTGCAAAACAATATCAATTTTTCACAACCATCGATCAAACGCAGATAAAGGCTCATTTCACTAGGACCTGAGCCGGTGTAACAGCTAGTCTTTTAACGTATCGCTGAACTTTAACGTCGATGTAAGCGCGTCCGCCGGTAATCGCAATGTCCACATCGTGGCCCAGAGCGTGGTGACCACAGGACGGTGACTTTCACATTGATTGCTACGTATTTGTAACAATATTTCGCAGCATCTGCGTACATTCAGCACCCACATCCACACGTACTTGTTGGGGAGAATGCGTTAGGCCAACCGGATTTGCAGTCAATCGCAATGGCTGACAGATATAAACAGTCTGTTTACGAGTGTCACGCATGACATGGTTTACGCATAATGATAAGTGATGAATAGTAATAACAATAATAAACGGTCTAGCTGAACACCCATGGGAGTTTTTCACGCCATGGGTCGTGCGAGTTATCCTTGCTAGGATGAAAAATTTACAAAAGTCACTTCTAGGGCTGTCCGGTAGATGTCATCGTCGTCCGATTCAAAAAAGCGTTTGATAGCGTGCCTCGACATTTCTTGCAGGATTAAATGTTTTCTGCCATGTAGACCGCAAAAAGTAATTGTAGGAATCCCTGCTGCCGAATTGGTACCGGTAGAATCATTGCGCCACAAAGAATGGTCTTAGGTCATCTTCTCTTTTCAATCTATGTAAACGAACGCACTGAAGATCTTGACTGCGACTCCATCATGTTTCCAGATGATGAGCCTGGCAAACGGTAATCTATACTGACGACGCGCAGAAACTAAAATAGCCTTGATAAATTGGATGCGTGTTTCATTGCGTAGTCTCTAACGTTTACTGCATCCAAGTGTGTTGTCATACACATAGTAGCTGTTCAGGGACGTTTACCAAAACCACAATACTGTATAAATCGATTTCTTCTAGAAGAAGCTGATG